GGAGAAAGGGTGTGTTTGGAACTTGTGCAGATCTCCAACGTAAATCATCAATCAACAAGATTAATCAGCAACCACTGATAGGTTTCATCACTAAATGTAGAAATGAGAAGTATGGCAGTTCCATCTTCTCAAACGTTCTTTGTGATACGACAGCAAACTGACTTTCTTTGGGTTTTGCGCTGCTGATGAACAACGCAGGTTTCTGACATTTTATAGACTGAAGCAGTCAAGTTAAGAAACTAATCAGCAGATTAACTGACAGTGAAAACCATTTTTACTTGCAGCTGTGTTTGTGCCGTTTTATGTGCAAATGAAAGCAACAATCCACAGATGTCAGTCTGTTAACGAGTCTTAACTAAAGCTCCAACAACATTAAAGACCAACGACGTTTTGATTTTTATTTTCTAATAAAATTAGTGCTGCAACCATTAGTTAACTTATTTTGATAATTGATCATCACTTTGGTCATTTTTTTAAGTAGGAGTGTCAAATATCTGCAGCTTCTAGTTTTTCAAATGTCTGTTTGCTGCTTTTCATGTCATGTGACAGAAATAGAACAATAACCACTTTTCACATTTTTTATAGCCTCAAACATTCATCAAGAAAAAAAGTCAGCAGATTCACTGATAATGAAAATGATCGTGGCCGTAGTCCCAAACATGTGCTCACCTGTCTAGTGTCCCTCGATCAAAAGACTCAGCAATGAAATGTTCCCCCATCGGCTCTGGGGCTTTATAGGTCACCTGTACACGAAGGGAGAAGAAAGTAAAGTGAACTCGTTGGTTGGAATTGGAATGTAAAGAAAGTGGTTAAACCGGAACGACTTCCAGGTCGAGTGAGCAACGATCAAATAAGGGAACTGGGACTTAGCCAGAGAAGCTGATGCCCGGGCTACCGTGCTCTCCTAACTCAGCTGGTTCAGAACTCTGCTGCCTGGTACGAACCATGACTCGGGTCTGGCTGAGTCTGAGTTGTTTCAAAGTGCAGGATGAGCATTTTTAGTTTTGAGATCAGCTGAATGTGTCGATGCTTTTAAACTTAAAACCCACCTCCTGAAGAGCAGAATATTTTATACACATAGCTTTTTATGGTATTCATCTTATTCTCTCCTAGGTTTAATTAGTCTTTTATCTGTTTTGTCTAGGGTTGATTCTATTTTATTGATTACATTTCGTCTCTTTATGTGGATTAGTCTCATATCATTTTTTACTGTTCACATTTGTTCTGTCTCAGTGTGTTAGTCATCTGTTAAACACTCTGATCCTGTACAAAATGACCCAGTCGGCCGCTTGCCGTCTCACCTTGGGTGAAGGAGGAGTTTTGGGTGCAGGTGGAGCCTCATCCTCTACATCCCCCTCCAGCTCCTCCTCACCTCCGGTCAAACCCAGATCCAGCTCATCTTCCACGTCCACGTCGTCATCCGGGATGTCCTCAACCAATTCGTCAGCCTGAACAGTGAGAGCCAGACTGAGGCAGAGGAGGCCTGCCGCCAGGAGGAAGAACAACCTGACCCTCTGATCCATAGTCTGGAGATGGACAAGGAGAGTTTTGTTATCAGGAATTTACAACAGTCTACATGTACTACATTATAGCATTTGTATATTTCTGTGTATTCACTTTAGGAAAACGTCTACAGAACAAGACACTGAATGAGTATGAAGAGTAATATTTGTATTTAACTGTCAGAGCATTGGCAGAACTTTGACCTTGTTAGTTTTAAGAAGAGGCAGGTAATGTCACACTTGTCTTCTCTCGGCTCCCTTTTGAACATGAACTCTATTATTTCACAGTGCAGCTTATATTATGTAAAAAAACAAAAAAAAACAACACGGTTTTTCTATAAAAAAAAAACTGAACTTCATAAAAACAGCAACCTGACATGACACTATCGCCAACGCACACACGGTTTGTTAACCTGTGTCACCCTGGCATCACTCCATCACCATCGTGACCAACTGGCACCCACAGGAGAGGCAAACGCAGCTCTGTTAACCCTAATGAGATTACACTGAGGGATTACTGCAGCACCCCTCAACACACACAGTCAATTTGTTCTGCACAGACGCAGCACAGAGTCTGAAGAGACCAACACTGTGTGCCCAGAGCGACAGAGCCACAGTAACGGCTGCACACACTTTACAGGAAAATGTCTTGGCCCATAACATTAATGAATAATTACACATTTGTTTATACAGCAACATTTCTGTAAATGCAACAACATGGTGAACATATTATCCCACACATTAAAATATCTAACTGCAGTCAACAAGAACAGGGACTTTCTCTTAAAATGTCACAAATACAAAGTCATCTCTGTGCCTGTGACCATACGGTCACAAAAACCAGTTTGTCACACAACAATGAGGTTTTTTACAGCACAGAAAAACATGCATTCGGCACAATCAGGCTTGAGTTCCTGGGGTTAATCAGATCTTAGAATGAGCCCATCCTGCAGGACATCTGCTGCTCCTCTGACAATAACTGGTTTCTAACTGGGGTTGATAAGCAAACGCAGCTTCCTGAAAAATGACTGCACTGTGGCTGTAGCAGCAAATATGGACAACGAGACACTGCAACTAACAAGTTTTTCTATTATACATTCAACTTAGACTTTCCTCTTGATTAACTCATCAACATATGAAATGTAGTTAGTTTATGACGTGCAATAAAAAAAATGGAAGCCGTTCCTCCCAAGACCAAGGTGACATCTTAGCGTCTTTTTGGTTAAAACAAACACATATAATCAGATCACAATGATATAAAACCAGGAGAAGCAGCAAATCTCCACAGAAAGAAACATGACATTTCTGCTTAATTAGAGCCCTGAAATCATCAGTTATTCAGAGCTTCCCTCAGTAATCTAACCTTTGTCTCAGTGTTCCAATGTTAATATTTTCACTAAACTACAGCAGTCACATGTGTGTGGTTTGTTTCATGCCACTGGTCTCCAACATTTAAAACATGGTTACATTTGTGCTGTTTCTATTAAAACAAGCAAAAACTTAACAGCAATAATATTCCTCTTGTGCTTTAGTCAAAAAGGTTCTACAATACTGATCAGCTTCACCTTGTTAAACAGCGGAATCAGCCTTTATCAACTGAATGGACGGGTTACTATTTAAAGTGAATGAAGACAGAAATACAAACACTGGATGGCTGATTATAAATCTGTCATTTCTCAATAAAGGAAGTGATTCTGCATTGTTATTTTACAGACAGAAGGCTTTAAAGGCGCTGTGTTGTCAAAGGAACAGGAACAAGGCATGTTCAAGGAGTCCCTAACTGAGGACACGATGTGTGTTAATTACTGACACTGTGCGACTTTCATAAACAGTTTTATATTCAACATTAGTCACTAATAAACATGAAGGAAAAATACTGTATTTTTTTAAACTACTCCTTTTGTAAATGTGGCAAAAACAGCTGCTTATTATGGGGGAAAAAAAACTACTGACTGAGTTGTGCATGTCTTAGTCTTAATAATAAATGGTCATGGAATTTGCTGTATAGTTAAACATGACTGTAGATTCTGGTGAGACAAGACAAACCAGCAGCGCTACAGACATGTGACAGATGAAGGGACAACCTGAAAGAGTCCCAGTGAGGTTCTGGGCGAACAGAACAGCTCCACCTTGACTCTCCAGGTCTCTGTACCCTCACATTCGCAGCAGTAGCAGTGACGTCGACTTATCTGAGGTTCAGTGAAGCAGCTGTGGTCCCAATGGCTTTTAATTCATCTATCAGAAAAAGGGTATTCTCTGCAAAACCTGATGTTATTGCAGTTGTTGTGAAGTCTGCGCTTTCATCATCATCCTCGGCAACTGGGAGATGGAGAGAACGGGGCCGTCATCCCTCCAGTTGGACCCTGGTGGAATGCTACCGCTTCCTTAAACCCATCGGCCTAGGCTCAGATCCACCCTCCCCGCACTTTCGACTGATGAGACGCTCTGAACGACGGCACTCTCTGGTCAATCTTCGTCCTTTGAAACGTTCCGACTCAGCACAGGACAAGCTAAGTCTGCTTCGCTTTGCTCTTTTTAATGCCAGGTCCCTCACCAATAAGACATTTATTCTTAATGATTTTATTACTACCCATGACCTGGATGCATTTCTAATGACAGAAACCTGGCTGAAATATGGAGATCATTCTATTTTCTCGGAATTGCTTCCCCCGGGCTATTTATTTTTTAATACCCCTCGTCTTACTGGGAGAGGGGGCGGCGTAGCGTCAGTATTCAAGCAGACGCTTAAATGCCGCCTTCTCCAGGGAAAAACTTATCCCAGTTTTGAATTCCAAGCTTTTACTCTTCTTCAGCAGTCCCCCATTTTATGTGTAGTCATATACCGCCCTCCTCGATCAAAGGATTTTATTACTGACTTTGGGGACTTTTTAGCAACATTTGTCCCACAATTTGACTATTTTTTGATCTGTGGTGACTTTAACATTCGTGTGGACAACCCCTCTGATCAACTAGCTATGGATTTTAATGCTCTCCTGGAGTCTTTTGATTTCATTCAAGCTGTTTCCTCCCCCACCCATCAGCGGGGGGGTACGCTGGACTTGGTTATTTTTCGAGGTCTGGCTATCTCCATTACCGATGTGGCTAATCTAGCCATCTCCGATCATTGGGTTATTCGCTTTGAACTTCAGGGACCTAAGTCGACCCCCACCCGGATGACCCTTGGTCAGACTCGGAGGATTAT